CACAGATATTCCGGCACACATCCAATGGTCTGTTTCAACAGACCCCCCTTCTGAGGCAGAAATCTGTAAGGAGGTCCAAGCCTTGGGACATCACAGAGCGCCGGGCTCTGATGGTCTTCTCTCAGCTCTATTTAAAGAGGGTAGAATAAAGCTTGTTAAAGAACTCCACGTCCTGTTCTCTAAAGTTTGGAACACTGAGCAGGTCCTTTCCTTGTGGGAGGAGTCCATGGTCGTCCCCATCTTTAAAAAGGGTCCGTGCAATTATTACGCCAATCATAGGGGTATAAGCCTGATCTGTGACGCTTTTAGGACATCTTCCCTTTGACCTTATTGGAGAACGCGTCGTTTTAGGAAAACAGGTTCACCTTTCATTTCCAACTTTACCGACAGTATCTTCATGCCGCCGACATTACCGGAACATTGCACAATCAAATTTTGAAGATGTGAGGTGATTGGCTTATCGTTGTTCGTATGTAGTGTGATTGATCCTTGTAATAGCCGCATTGCTCGCAGACCCAGAATGGACGGATTGTGGGCTGATACTAGGAATCGCAGTGAGTGCTGATTTCGGTAGGATAGATTTCCTCAATCCTGTGTCCATGATAAATCGATGCTCCACACCAAACTCAAACCTCAGTAGGGAGGACACGAACTGGCTGTTGAGCTCAGTGGTCTGTAACGTGTAGATTGGGCTTGAATTCTCATCTGCCGTTGGGATATAGGAATCGACGAAGTTGCACTTGGGCATTCGGCATACCTTGTGGATATGGCCCATCTTACCGCATTTATGGCAAGCGACATTGCGGAACCGACAAGTCGAACGAAGATGGTATTCACCACATGAAAAGCAGCGGTTGGTCGCAGCCTTCGGTTGTGTTCGGCTTGAACTGGGAACTGGGAGTGAATTATGGACACTGTGTGCATCACGTAATGGTTTCGTTGATCGCTGATGGAATAACAGGAGTATCCGCGTTTGTGGCAGCACACAAATCATCACTTTGCTTATAGATGTTTTGAGCCTCAGCAAACGTGGTCTTTCTTTTCCAACATCTTATATTGTAATGAAATGTTGTTGATTCCAGCAATGAGACGGTCACAGATGTGTTCTCCCAATTGATCACCATAGTTGTATTTTGACGTCTGCTTGTTCAACTGAAGGATGAATTCACGACACGGCATGTTGGCAGCTGCGATTATTGAGTTGAATTTGCCCGTCCAGCGGCCTGAAAATCCACTGGGAGAATGTGGTAGACATTCTACACATACATTCATTCATACATACATGCATACATACATTTGATGATCCGGGCCTACGAGATGTGACGTACCCTGGAGCAATGCGTTACAGTTTTAGGATAACTGCGATCAATCAAACTTCACGGCTGACGTCAACAAGGCGCTTCTGACTACATGCCCTAGGTGGATTGTACCAGCCAATCAGAGAAAGTGCGACCCACACAGAACAATGCAACGTGATTGGTAGAAGCCCGGATAGCCAATGAGCCCACTTTGTACATATTATTTGATCCCCACTATTTCTTCCAATAAACGAACCACTATTATTCCTTTGGCCTTTTCCTCGCATCTCAGTTAAGCGGGATATTGCATGCTAGTTCCAGCGTGGTCCAGTGCCTAAACGATCCAGTCTGTGATTGCTAATCCCTGATTGGGGTTCCGTGATCCGTATTGCGTGCTTCGTATTCCGAGTAGTGCGCACTACTACTGTTGTGAGATACCAATCACTTGTGAGTAGTAGGTAACTTTCGATGAGCAAAAAATATAAAAGACCATCAAGGGCCAAGTGATATGTTTGGAAGAATAACTACTCTATATATTACCCTGTGTGTCAGAAAGAATTGGAATGGCACGTTTCTAATTAGGATTTTATGTTATGCATGCAAAATTACCAACCTCCCAGGTGTAATCCGCAATAAACGAATATCCTCAACCAGCACCACCTTTTGGAATTATAGCAAATGGTCCCGTCGCCAGGATCGGGATGAAGGTTCCGAGGCCTGGTATCTTCGAGGATGCAGATGTGTGGACATTTCTGGAGGAGTTCGAGAACGTCACAGAGCTGGCGGGAATACGGTCGGACCGGGGTAAGTTGACGGACCTTCGAGCGTTTCTCAAAAGCCGGGGTCAGAGGATGTTGGATGCGGCGCGAAGAGGCACGGAGGAGATGGAGTGGGCCGCCGCGAAGGACACCCTAATTGCCGATCTCGATACCCTGGCCGACTGCCTGAAGGAGTTGCGGAGCTTTCAGACGGCGCAGCTCGGAGTTGGCGTGGACGCTCTGTCGCGCGCCGTGGCCCTGCATGCCCTGTTGGATCGAGCGCTGACAACTCTGAACGATGCTACTCGCTCAGAATTATTGCTGGAGCGTTTCGTGCTTATGTTTAATGATGGAATTAGAGCATGTTTTATAGAAGGTAAGGTTGAAGGACCATCATTCAATCACGTTACTGTTTGCGCCGACGCATCATATATACTCACTCGGATCTCATGTTCTCCCGGTGTACCATTGGTCAAGCTTCCTAAACGGTGATTGGATGGCATGAAGCTGTACCTGGTCGTGCCTGGAATGCGGTCACATAAGTCTGGATCAACACAATTACCCACCCTGTTTGTGTAGTAGAAATAGCTGCTGAAACGTTTTTCCATACTATTTTATAATTCATTACGTTAAATGTAAACTGCCATTAGTTCATTGACACAATTTCCTGGAACCAGGGCCAATGCAAAGGCTGGGTTAGGTTCCCTTGATGTCAGACCTCCGAGATGAGGTGATGGTGGCCAAAGGCACTGGACCAACTTTTCTAAGCTAAAAACATTTGATGAAACACCCATAGTATTGGTGTTGGGAGATACTACTCATTTGTCAGTAGTACGCAAAAAGATGCGATCAGCATTTCTTTCAAACGATCAAAAATGAACGAGACCTGTTGGAGCAAACTGTTGCTGTTTGGTACGGTGAACACAAGAATGCGCATTTTTGGAATTATAGCACTGGTACTTCAAAAACGTTGTGACCAAATATATGTACACAGTCTTACTAATATGGATTTTTACAGAAAGTAAAATCAGAGGGAATCAGTAGATTATCTAACTATGTTTGAATTGACCAAACCAGAGGCAACCATATTTTCCACCACGCAAGGTCTAAACACCGTGTAATTTGCCTGTGTTCGTCGAACACTGCGATAACAAGCGAACACGGATGTATGAGAAATTATTTGTTTAGTCTCAACCAAGCTCCTTGGGGTCAGCGGGTCCATCTGTTCGTACCAAAGGCGGTAGCAACTATGTCTTATCAAACCAATTTGCTTTCAAAACCAACTTCAATCTCATGATGACCATACATCTTAAAATGAGTCGCTGTTCCCAACGACAAAGCCAGAGCAAACAAGGTGGATTTATTTGCGGATGGCAGTGTAGATCAAACTATTATTATGCAATGAATTGTCAAATGTATATACGCTGGCATCGATCGTGTGTGTGTCTAGACCGAATATGGCAATGAGCCCCCACAAGGGCAAGCATCAAGGTCCAATAGTTCCAAGCCGCTCAAATCACAAATCCTATGATCTCCCCGAGCGACGCAAAATTCATCACGTGACCGAACGGAGTTTCAAATCACTTTCTTACATTGCAATCGGAAAGGCCAGGGGCTCGCTGGATCGTAAGCTGAGTGCCGGGAAATCTACTGAACAACAACATCAGTAACAGGTGGAAATCTAGCAGAATATTTGCTTACTAATTTGATTGCCTTGTTTTTGCTCCGGGCATGACAGAGTGTGGAGTAGCATCAAATTCATTTAACTTATTTGATTTCTTAGCACGGGAGTTCGATGGTTCATTGTTGTGTGTGTGTGTGTGTGTGTGTGTGTGTGTGTGTGAAATTGATCACTTCGCTTATGAAACGGATTCCCAGCGTACAAGGGATCGTCAGATAACAGACCGATTGATTTGATTCGAATTTCAAATAGTCATTTTACTTAAATTAAACTACTTCGGAATTTCCAATTGCTGAGCTATTGGACCTACGTCGAGCTCATCTGGGTGCCGACTGAGGAAGCGCTGGAGCGAGGAGCGGAGAACAAAATGGGCTGAATTTATAATTAACTCTTATTGGGTGAACGAAAGAACTGGATCAATGTATTCAATGCTCTTCTGTCACTGTCCATATTTGAAAGCCAACCGGTTTGTATTCGTGCAACATTTACGTATAGACACGTGTTTACGTTCAAACCCGAGACAATTAATCGAAAATGTACCCAGTCTTCAAAATTTTACAAACGGTTTAAAATTTCCCGAAATATGCCCATTGATTAAGGACATGTGTTTTTCGTGTGTGTTCTCTTCGTCACCAAACATCCGATGCTACAACAAAGATAAACTGCCCATGCTGACCTCATCTATGATTGTCTACCAATTCAAGGGTACCTATTGTACGACTTATATGCAGGTCGAACCACAAAGCAGTGATCTCAACGGATCAAAGAACACAATGCACGCTGGCTCACACAGGGTGGGAGTGGAGCTGTGTCAAGCTCGATCGTTGCTCACTTGGTGGAGACATGTCCCGACATGCGCTCGGCAATTCTTTTTCGCTTGTTCTCTTTTCATTTTTACTTCCTTTTATTGAATATACAAAGCTACAACTTTCAGGAACGGGGAAGCGACCAATCAAAGGGCTACCATTCAACACACAATGGATAAAGTCAGGCAGTGGTGGTGCGATTCGAATACTTATCCCGAGGTGAGAATTTAGTGACGTTACCATCGGGCCACCACCGACCAATCATTTATTAAGTCTCACCACACCCCTCCAGGGCAATATGGTTTCTGACGTTAGTAACCGCAGAGCATCCGACTCATGAGGCCTGAACTGTGCGCACNGCACAACAAAAATTGATTCAAGCTCTCAAACTCCCTTGACCAAGGGAAGAGAAAATCGCTCGTTTACACGATCATGAAGTAACGACTTTGGCTACGTGATCTAAACAACGGATTGCCTGTGAATCGTAGACCTGTCTCATTGAACCTTCTGTTTCATAATTGTTTTGTATGTTCCCTTGTCTTGCAGGTCGTTTATAATTCCCCCTTCCACGGAGAACCTGTTTTCCGAAGTGTCTCTCCTAATTGTGCATTGAGTGTCTGTGCTGGGCCGCGTTTACGATTTGGTCCGACAACCCAAATAGGATTGGTTGTTTGCGGTATTCTGACTGCGCTATTGGTACCACAAGAAACTCGGCTTGTGTTACCTGAAATCAGGCCCATGCCATGTATTATAAATCGGTGTCAGTGGTGGGCTAAGTTCTGCATGTTACACCAGGACTGATTTGGGAGAAGGAGTGAGAGGAAGATAGATTACATTTCACCCGCTTCTTACGGACAAAAATATTTCAAAATTCCATTGGTCCATTTGATAGACCAATTCCTTAATAAGATTTAGAGAAAATATAATTTAGGACCATAACATTAGGCAGTCAATATTGTCTAAATGTCCGGAGAACATAATAGGAGTGCAGCAATTGGGGATTGAGAAAATGAACTTGTATGCACATGTGTGGATGAGTGATCGTGGAATTGTAAACTGCCGGAGAGCAGAAATATGAACTGATAGTTATTGCATAGCCGGATGTGAATATCTATCCCAGGTGTGTTTCAAGGATGGTCTCAAGGATGGTACGATAAAGTCATCTATAGAGAACGCGTTGTTATCAATGCTCAGATGCGCCTCGTAAAAGTTTGCTCCAGAAAGAGTAAAGATACCTTCCGAACCTTTAGAAGAAGTCAGGTCAGTTTCAGAATGAGTCGTAAACGCTCCGCTGAGCTAAAAATTCTTGTCCGCATATGTTGAAGTCGCCATCCCCGTGGATGAAATAGCACTCAGATGGCAACTGCACGCTATAGGAAAAAGACAAATGGGAACCGAGGTAGATCAAATTATGGTAAGCAGAAAATGAACGTGGTGTGCGAAAGGCATTTTAACTATAGCTGTTTTTTGTGGGCGGAGGGGGGAGGAAGCGTATGTGCCCCATCTCCGATGAAACAATCAAGTAGCGTGTGCAGTAATGCGTATGCATAGTCAATAACCATGAAACGGTATCCGAATCGGACGATTAAACAATGAAAACAGCTTTGCCCGACTTTAATTTGCCATTTTTACCTTTTTTTCTTGATCATTTTAGGTGGACCGTTTTTTGTGCCAAATTGGGAACACATAGCGAGGAGCAATTAGCTAGCAGATGATATGATATCCACACGGAGGACAGCACACACTCGAATGCACTGGTAGATAAGCGTTTCAAAAGCGCACATGAATGGCACTGCCCACCTTTATCCCTTTACTACTGCCCCAATTTGTCACGAATTACCATAAACATATTTTACAGGGATTTCTTAGTGTAAGTGCCAGTTACTTACATGTGACTCAGGAATGCAGACTGAGTCCAGAAAATCAACTACCTAACCGAACGAATATGCTGTGCCGAGGCAATTCAAAGGCAAGCCTGATTCACTTAAACACCTACTGGGATTCAATGTTGCTTCCTAAAATAAACCTTATGGTCGATTCCTGTGAATTTCGCTTATTCCGTGCAGCTGAACGATTTCTTACATTCTACGGAGTACGCTTGTTGAACAGAAACAAGAAACGAGCTACCCTAGATAGGCGAAAATCGATATCAGTGATATATCTTTAGATGTCGAGAAAATCTTTCCACATCCACTCATGCACATCGGCTTTCTTTATATATCCTAGTCTGTGCAGGTGAAAAACCTTTTTTGCATAATACTGCACTGGTCGATTGAGAAGCGGTGGTGGCTAAGTGGTTAGGTCACCAACTTATGCCCCGGAAGTCTCGGGTTCGAGCCGCTCCACCACCGCCCATCTTCCCTATTTCTGTATTTTCTCCAGGCAGCCTTTGTACGGCCGCAGCCCCCTTCTTGAAAGTTGTTGAATTGTATTGCATATTGAATAAATAAACAAGGAAGTAAAAAGACATTTGTTTGTTTGTAAGCCGAAACACAACATTTTTCTCGCATATTTTTCCAAATATGGTGAACAGTGATAAATAATGCAATTTAATCAAGTAAGTATTGCACCAAGCGGCTGTGCCCCACTCCCGAACCCCAATGTGACGGGTTAGGGACTCCGCAACACCTAATTATTGTTTAGCTTGCGGTTTGGCAGATTCTAAGTCTTTCATGTCGATTGTGAAAAGTTCAGTAGCCTCGGTGGGATTCGAACCCACGCATGAAGTCCGCCTACGCGGTGGTTGGTGGATGCCATACGCCTCTGTAGGTTGGGTAATTCAACTGTGAAAAGACCACTGCTATCAGTGCGGCCTCGTAGCTCAGCTGGTAGATCGTGCGCTTTACAAAGGCATAGGCGGCGTCTATGCGTGGGTTCTAATCCCATCGAGGCTACTGAACGTTTCCCAATCGAACTAATTATTGATTGACAGTTTTTCCAGTTTGATAATGACCTGGGTTTTTTCCTTGGATTCATGTATTGTCTCTCTCTCTTTGTACTTCAGA